TGCAATGTTATGGCTTCAAACAGCAGAGATCTGTAATTTTCAACTATCTCCATGTTTAATCTTGGTGTTATGCAAACTCAGCTGGAAGCGGTGAATTAAACTCAGAAAGCATGAAATGAACTATTTCTGACTTTGATAATTCGATTTCTTTGATATGTGAGTTTTTACAGCAACTAGTATAACAACCTCTTTATTTGACACCAAGTTGTATGTAAACTTTTAGCCTTTGAGATTTATTAGTCCACGTTACTAATTGTGATTCCCTTTGGAATCATTGCCTCAAGTCATCAACATGGGATTTAATTTAATTAGCGTTCGAAATGATTCCATACTGTTCGAAAACTTTCCAAATGGTTTATTTACAGAAGTCCCAATTAAAGTCTATATGAATTTTTGTAGATAAATCATTTCAGAAAGTTTTTCTGACAATATTAAATTATTTGGAAAACTTATTCAATCCAAGTCTTAAATCCTAAAGAGTTATAATATTTGTGGGAGTCTGAACGTTGCATGTTCATGTAATACATTGCTGTTATATTTAGAATAAAAATTGATATCCATCCATCTCTAATCTAGCTATATTAGTTCTAGGACTCCTAATTGTTGCCACCATTAATTTTATTTGGGAATATCCTGGTTCTGACCAAGATTGTGTTCTTTGTACTGTATGGAGGTAACCTGTGCATAGAATGATTATAGGCATGACACACTACTGGTGCAGTATTGCATTCTAAAACATGATCTACCCCCTGGAATAATGTATATATGATCCTGTATTATATGTGTGTGTATTCATTTAAATGTATGTGTGTATGCACACACAAATACATTTAAGAATGTGTGTACAAAACCGTACTAGTAACATTTTAATGTATGTTTTGTCTTTTTTTAGCATACATTTGAGCTGCTAAAATAATTATTATAGATCAGAATCTTTTTTTTAAAAATATGCCTATTTGTCTCCCATGATAAAGATCAGTTCTACTTCAGCAACTAAGTCAAGGTCACATTTAACTCTCTTCAATTCCAACTGATGCACAAGCTAATGTCAATAGTACAGCTACCATGCAGAGCTAAAGACTGATGGTAAGACATAGCCATTTACACAAGACTGGATCTTTCATCTTTTCTCAGCTTGTGACATAAGAAAGCATTAAGGCTGTTTTCAACTAGAGAAGAAAGCAGGCAGCTAAAAAAAATGTTATCCTTCGTAGCTGTCATATAAAGCGATCTAAAGACTTGTGGAACTGTTATGCTTCATGGTCAGCTAAGGAGATCACAAAGTGACTGTAATAGCCATAGCTATAACATGCTCACGTGGTTTAAGTGATTGCAAGAAGTGAGATTTTCCATTTACACTTCATGGCTATAAAGAAACAAAATCAATATACCTAACTACTCACGCGCACCACAATGACAAAAAAAAGAAAGATAACATTAGTGTACTTAGAATGTGCAAAATATAATTTTTCAAATTCTGCTTATTGAAATTACTTAAATTACAGTCATTAGTCAAGATTCTTATTTTCTTTAAAATATATCAACAAAACAATCACATTGCCATGTATAATAGTAATGTAAACTACTGACATACATAACAATTACATATTCACCCTATTTGCTGTATATTACTTCATATAACTATTATATAATAGAAGAAAGCATTATATATATATATATATATATATATATATATATATTGAACTCAGTATTAGAAGAATCTTATGTTCAGTGGCAGGACTAATGTAGAGAGGGACAATAAGAACAATAATTGTTTTTGGTCCTCCTCTAGCACAAGCATGGCCAAAAGGTAGATCCCCATCTGTCGTACAACTCCCACGATGCATTTCTAGCTGGGCATCTACCATGTGCCCATCCTTGCTGAGCTGTATGTGTGAGCAGTGTTTGTGCTTGAATTTAGGCATGTTTTGTGTGTTTTAAAGTATGCATGTATTTGTGTGTAGTGTTTGTATGTACTGTTTCTATTTGAAAACAGCGGTGTGCTTGTGTTGAATGTTTGTGTTTTGATGTGCTTATATGTAGAGTTGGCATTTGATTTATGGGATGTATACACATGCAGTGTAAAGCACTAAAACACACACAGATACACACACACAGTGGACACACATAGTTACACACTGACTCATAGACACACAGACACACACGCATACACACACAGATGCACACATGTGCACACACTGACACACATACACACAGATAACATATACACACAGTGACACATACACAGATAGACACACACAGGGAACACAGATAGACACATACACACACACATTTACACACCCAGATAACGCACACACAGATAAACACACAGGTAACACACATACAAACACAGATAACTTAAAAAAAAGGTAAAACATAAATGTGTAAAAAAACAAAAAACAAAAAAGAACACATTTTTGAATAGAAAAAGCACACCAGAAAAGTGAGGTCCGACATCAAACCTAAGGTTGACTAACAAGTACTAGTAGGAAGTGCAAAGTTGTTCAGGCATGTGAAAAGTTAAGAGAATGCTGCTGACTGTGTGTGTCAGAAAAAAATGGGTTTTATGGCATAAGAGTGAGGGTAGGAAAAAGAAAGAAAGATGGAGAGTAGAACATACATAAGGTAGAAAGAGGGAAAGTAGAGTTGGTCTAGCATTGTGAGAGAAAAATGAATAGGTCCAACAACTCTGCAAGAGTGTCTGAACGAAAGTTGTCTCTAGTAGATTAAAAGACCCAATGCATCCAAGTCTTTGTTTACCAGTCCATGTGGACTTTTAGCTTGCAAACAGTAGAGGTGACAGCTGACTGTGATAAAATGCTTGCCAAGAGACACTTCTGAGAAACTAGATGAATTTAGTAGGTTTGACATAGGCACCATCAAGAAGGCGTTTGTTGGTAGCAATCTCTCATGCATAATCTGAATGTGTTGTAGGACTTGCTGTTGCTTTTGGCATTTGACTCCCTGTTCTCTATGGTCTATGTGGCGCCGGAGAGGAGGTGTGTTATTTTCTTATCTTTCCTCTCTCGTCTTGCTTCCTTTCTCTCTCTCTCTCTCTCTCTCTGTGAAACCATTTTGCCTTTGAGATCTTTTTATGTGTGTCCTGTACTTCTACATGCTGCTGCTGTGCTATTACAACTCTGCTAACTGTCAACACTATCAACTATAATGGCAGTGTTTTAAGACCGAAAACAAGGCATGGGGCAGTCAGTAGCCTACCAACTGCTAAAGACTGAAAATAATCATGCTGGTCTGACAGCACCTTGCCCTCTGTCTTTAAAGAAGTGAAAGGGATTTCTGACAACATGTCTAAATACACCATGATACACTATATTTATGTCATTTCTCGCACTCATTAAAAGAGGTTACATTGCAATACAGTTATTAACAACTAACTCATCAGTTATTACTTATCTCCAATTCTCCTCAAGCAGAGAAATACAGATCACTGTATACAGCAGGCTGACATTGATCAGAAAACCAAGCATTTGTTAGCAAGATTGGTAAATTGACTTAGTGCACAGTCTGCTGTATGTATGCATGCCTGAAAGAGTCTTTTAGGAATCCATACCTCTGTGGCAAATGTGAGCGAGTGGCTTCTCTGGAAACTCTGATTGGAGATCTGGAAAGCAAATTGCAACACTAAGATTGTGCTGGAGGAAGCTGCTCCATCTAAAGGGCCGAGGGAACAACTCTAGTATGGATGGGATCGAGCTGATCATGCTGAGCCAATGAACTAAGCCCTGAACCCAAAACTTAGCTTAGTGCAGGAGGCCTCTCCAGGTGCTTCAACCACTACAGCTGTAGTCGTTATGGTGATTGTAGTATGTCTTTAAAGGGACACCCAAATCAGGCAAAGCAATCTTACCTTAATAGGAGACTATAGTCACCAGAACAATTACAGCTTGTTGTAGTTGTTCTGGAGAGTATAGACATTCCCTGCAGGCATTTTCATGCAAACACTGTCTGAACTGCCTCTGTTTGCTGACATCATCAGAAGTGGTGCCTATCACAGTGGTTCCATATAGGATTGGCTGAGACTGTGAAGGAGGCAGATTAGGTGCAGAGCCAGCACAAGTCAAACATAGCACTGGCTAATCAGCATCTCATCATAAATTGATAAATTTGAACTATGAATCTCTATGAGAAAAGTTCAGTGTATGCATGTAGAGGGTGGAGATGCTGAATGTTATCACTAGGTTGTTTTGTAAAAACTGCATTTTCTCTGAAAAGACAGTGTTTACAGCAAAAAGCCTGAAGGTAATGATTCTACTCACCAGAACAAATAAAAAAAAGCTGTAGTTGTTCTGGTGACTATAGTGTCCCTTTAATTTTTTCTAATGGCGCTAAGTTGGGGGCAAACCGCTTAAATTGTGTTTTTAACACTATAGGGTAAGGGATACATGTTTGTGTTGTTGACCCTATAGTGTTCCTTTAATGAAGTAGTTTTTGTGTATAGATCAAGCACTCTTAAATTATCTGTATTAGGTGTTAAATCACACCTCCTCTGAATGCGACTCACACAACCAACAAGAAAAAAATATTGTTTTCTTTGACAGTGTGTTTAATTCAGAAGGTTGTAGTGTGCCTTTAAAGGGATACTTTAAGCACTGAAACAACTTTAGCTCATTCTCACTACCCCATTATCTGCTATTTAGGCAGGGGCGTACCTAGAGCATTTGGCACCCGGGGCGGATCCTATGCTTGGCACCCCCCCCCACCACTTAAAAAACCTGTAAAAAATGTTAAAGGTTTTCTTTCTTTTTTTTTACAATTTGTAAACTTTGCAAATCCGCTGTCAGCCCCTCCTACAAAACCCTTGTCCTGCCCCGCCCCTCCTACAAAACCTCTGTCCTGCCCCTTCTACAAATCCTGTACTGCCCCTGTCTACAAAACCCCCTTCCACAAATCCCCTGCTTATCCCCCCTTATAAAGACTCCTGTCCCACTACAAAACCCCCGCCCCCTTCTACAAAATCCCTGCAACCCCACACACACATTTACAGGCAGACAGTCCCACACTCAGTTACAGACAGTCACACACTGTTACTGGCAGACAGTCACACACAGTCACAGGCAGACAGTCACACATACACATTTCCTCTGTGCGGCCAGTTTATCAGCCCCCTCCAGCCAGGGCCGGTGCAAGGATTTGTGACATCACAATGCCCCAGCCATATGATTTGCCATGTTAACTAACGCCAGTGCTGCAGTGCCGCCGTGTTTACATTAAAAGGCCTGCAGGGACAGGCTATAGACACTAGAACCACTACATTAAGCTGAAGTGGTTCTGGGGACTATAGTGTTTCTTTAATATGAGGTAAATTAGAGCTTAGTGCCACGAATAATATACTAGATTGCCTACTTACAACCAGATGAGGATGATGATGGGCTCTAGCTGCAGTCTGGCTCCACTGGTCTGGTGTAGAACAGGCTCTCTGGAGGCGGTTTGTAACTGTGGTCACAAAAATCAATGTTCTGGGAGAACGGGAAGCAACTCCATTTTTTGGGGGCCCTTTACACAGCTCAAGGTCTGGGTCCCAGGGTCCACCTTCATGTTCCACCAATGAGTTTGTTCACAGGGGGTGGAGTGTGTGGGGGATGTCCTGATATGTGTGTAAGGAATGCATTGTGTGAAATTGTGTTTGTATGTGTAAGGGCTGCAAGGTGTGTTTCTGTGTATGTATGGGATGCATTGAATGTGTGTAAGGGGTACATTGAGTGTGTGTAATGAATGCATTGTGTGTTTCTGTGTGTGTAAGGGATGCATTGTGTGTAACGGTTGCATTGCTTGTGTATGTGTGTGTGTGTGTAATGCATTGTGTGTTTTTCTGTGTGCAAGGGGTGCATTGTGTGTATGTGATGAATATCAATCTCTCCTCCCGCTCCAATTTCCTTCTCCTCCTCCCAATTTCTCTTTCTCACCCCCCCTCCTAATTTCTCTCCCCCTCAATTTCTCTCCCCCCTCCTAATTTCTCTCTTTCTCACCCCCCTCCTAATTTCTCTCCCCCCCTAATTTCTCTTTCCCCCTCCTAATATCTCTTCCCCCCCTCCTAATTTCAATTTCTCTCCCCCCCTCCTAATTTCAATTTCTCTCCCCCCTCCTAATTTCTCTTTCTCACCCCCCTCCTAATTTCTCTCCCCCCCTCCTAGTTTCTCTTCCCCCTCCTAATTTCTCTCTCACCCCCGCCTCCTTTCTCTCTCACCCTCTTTCTCACCCCCCCTCATTTCTTTCACCCCCCCTCATTTCTCCTCTCTCACCCCCCCTTTTTCCTCTTTCTCACCCCCCCTTTTTCTCTCACCCCCCCTCCTAATTTCTCACCCCCCCTTTTTCCTCTCACTCCCCCTCATTTCTCACACACCCCCTTTTTCCTCTCACCCCCCCTCATTTCTCACACACACCCTTTTTCCTCTCACTCCCCCTCATTTCTCACCCCCCCTTTTTCCTCTCACTCCCCCTCATTTCTCACACACCCCCTTTTTCCTCTCACCCCCCCTCATTTCTCACACACACCCTTTTTCCTCTCACTCCCCCTCATTTCTCACCCCCCCTTTTTCCTCTCACCCCCCCCTCATTTTCTCACACCCCTTTTTAATCTCACCCCCTCATTTCTCACCCCCTTCTTTCTCACCCCCCCCTCCCTCCCCTGCCTCCTGTAGCGTGGCCGAGCCCAGTATAGTCCGCGGGTACAGGGAGCTTTTGTTTCCTGTACCCGGCCGGACTAACAGGAAGTGAACACTCAGTGTTCCCTTCCTGTTAGTCCGGCCGGGTACAGGAGACAGCTGCTCTCTGTTCCCGTCGGACCATGCTGCAGTGAGGGAGCTGACAGGAGCGCTCCCTTCTGTCAGCCCCTCTCCTCAGGCTGCGCCCGGGCGGTGCGGTCCGCCCTCATGGACGCACCGCCCGGGCAAAGCTGCAGCCGCCTGAGGCTCAATACAGAGCGCTCGGGCGGCTGCAGCATGGGGGGGGCGGGCCATGGCACCCCCCACCCGGCTGGCACCCGGGGCGGACCGCCCCCCCCGCCCCCCCCTTAGTACGCCACTGTATTTAGGAATTAATTTACTTTTGTTTTTGTTTGTGCTGTCCTAACCCCATGCTTCCATGGCTCTGACTCACACAGCTTCCATGTAAAAATGGCTTCATTTCCAAAAATATTTTACTTTAGAAGTTTGTATGTCCTGCTCTGTTAATTGAGTTTAATCACACACAAAAGGCTGTTACAGGCTCTAGCATGCTATTAACTGAGCAAACGATATGACATTCAGTCAGACTTATTCACCGAAGGGAATTCAAAGTAAATTTCAAAATAGCTGAACTGGAAAAAGTCAGTAATGGCTTCAGTTTGGCTACTCTGGCCCTAAATTTGAAATTTACTTTGAATTTACTTGAAATTAAGACTGGAAATTAAGCACTTTGTGCAATAAGGGAAACTAAACAAAAGCATTGGTTTGCCTAAAAATAATAAATTCTGATTTCACATAGGAGACGGATCGGGCAGAGCCAGCACCGGCGGACCTGCGCAGTGCTGGAAATAAGGTATGTTTTGACTGCTTCTAAGGGACATGGGGGGGGGGGGAGGCAAGCCACCTAAATGGTGGTGTTAAAACTATAGGGTCAGGAATACATGTTTGTGGCCTTGACCTTATAGCATATCTTTAAAAATCATGCAGGTACATACTATACACACCAGCAAAACTAAATTATACTGCAGTTTTTCTTGTGAATTTAAAATGAAATAACATATGTGTGGTATAAAAAGATTTGTAAAGCAAGAAAGTGAAACATTAGTGACTACAATATTCCACAATATCAACTAGCATTTTTAGGTGCCTATATTTGTTAATAATGTTTGTATGTAAACATGCTGTCTGCCCAGTAGCTTATCTATTAACCCCTTCACTGCCAAACACTTTCGTTGATATTAAATTAATATTTATTTAAAAAAACACAGGATGTATAGTTTGCAGATAACATAAAAAAACAAAAAAAACATGCAGTATAATAATATAATAAATTGTGCATGTAGATTTTTTTCATAGAAACTTAATTATACAATTATGTGTATGTACTCAACTTTATTGTCATTTATTCATTCATCCTTTACATAAAGGACTGCATATGATGTCCTTAATCTTGCAATATATCACACAAGCTCTGAAATGTTAGTATAAAAGCAAAAACGCATTTTTTTCACATGTAGTAGGTGTAAAAAAATTAAAATCTCTGGAATGGTAATGTAATGCTAACAGTGAAATGGGAGGGCTCCCATATACTCCTGCCCCTCCATGATTGCAGGAATGGTACCAATTTAAACTCTCTTTACTGTTTGGATGTAGAAAGAAAGTTGGCATTTTGAGCACACTTATACACATTAAAGGGACACTATAGTCACAAAAACTACATTTTTAATGTATGGATCATGCCTCTGACATTTCACTGCTCAATTATCTGCCATTTAGGAGTTAAATCACTTTTTTTTCAGTCCACACAGTCTTTGACAGACACAGCCTGCATGAAAAAATTGTTTCATTTTCAATTGGGTGTTAACCTACTTTAGAAGTTTTTAATCTCCTGCTCGGTAAATTTAACTTTAACCACGTACAGTAGGCTCTCACAAATTAAATGGACTGTGCAATAAAGGATGATTGAATGATTAAACAGCAAAATGGCAGAGAACTGAGCAGTGAGACTGCAGGGACATGACCTATACACCAGAACTGCTTCATTAAGATAAAATGTATTTTAGTGACTAATGTTCCTTTAAATGAGTGGCCAATGACTTCTTGCAGAGAAATTAATTCATCCATGGACTAGCAAATATTTTTGGAGTATAAATAAAGGTGATGCTTTGTGGACTAAATTTTGTTTTACATTTATACTCTGTGCTGTGAGTGAAAGGGTTGTACTCTATAGTACATTTTTCATTGTCCATCCCTTAAAGATACAGTATACAGTTTGACAATAGGTTTGTACGATTTAATATAAATATTTAAAATGTTTTAATTTAAGCTATGATATTTCTTGTACCCAGTAAATGAGAATTAGCAGATAAATCTTTGTGTCTCTGCAATGGAAAAATTCTAGTTACTTGATAAGTGTAATGCTGTGTTGCAAACATAATTCACTTGCCTGGTGCATTTGCAAATACTTCTTGGTCATTCTATCAGTGTAACAGCTTCATCTTCCTAATCACTAAAGTTCTGTCTCTTTGAGCCTGTGCTGAAAGACTAAGATGGCTAATTAAAATAAAGCTTTAGTAGCAAGTACACAAATTAGATCTTGTCAGTAAGTTTATTCTAACTATTGGTCATTTCTAAATGCCTTTATAATCCTCTAATTTTTACATTAAAATGCAAAAGCCTAGCAATCTTAATCACCTCTACATCAAATTCATCATTAAGAATAGGAAGCCAGATGGTATAATTTTGATTTACCGGACTTCAGTGTGGATTAATGTACTGAGTGCCAATAATGAATACATCAAAACTGATATTGCTGCAGCCCATGAATGTGGCATGTTAAATTAATAATACTCTTTAGGCAGGAAAAGCATGCACTATATCCATACATAAAATAAAGAAATAATGGTTCCTTTTATCTTAAATAGCATTTATGAAACACACATCTTATTCACAAGAAGATAAATATTTTTAACAACTTACAAAAGGCAGAGAATCTTTTTTTTTTTTCAGATCAAATGTGTTCATTATTTTTATTTTGTTTATGTAGAAGATCCTATAGCAAGGAAATAGCAAAACACATTATAATATGCACTATAATTTTAAAGTCCTTTTAAACAAGTTGTAATTTTTTTATTGAATGTACATGGGGGCTACCCAGCAAAGATTCACATTAACACTTCCAATGGTTCTTTCTGAAGTCTCCATCAAATTATTTCATATTATGACTCCTAGTATATCATTCTAGTTTCGAAAGACAAACATAAACAAGAAATAACCTTTATGCCAACAGACTGTTTAAAATGATGATAAAGTGACTCCTAGTATGTGTTCACATGTGTCCCCAAATTAAAACCTTTTCCCAAAATTTAAATCTGAATCTCACTCTTACCTTTAAATATATTCACATAGTGGAGTATTTCCATTACTTCTAACAACAACATAAATACATTAAAACTTACAGAAAAGTGTTCAGTGCTCACATATCCTCAGCTTCCGCCCACTAAAATAGACATACCATAAAAAAGGAAAA